TCTGCAGTATGACCCTCTTGACGCAGGTCAAGGCGCGCTTCTCGGTCATGTGATAGGTTATCGCTAAAATGAAACCTGGGAGCTCGCAAAATGAGTAAAAAAAAAAAAAAAAAAGGCCTAGCCAGGAGACAGAAGAGGAGCCTATGACTTTTAAGAAAAAGGTTTTATTTAATTGACAGTAGCAGGAGTCCTAAGTAAAATATGGATCTCAATGAGAGATTCCCACGCACCAAGCCCCCTCTGCATAATATGCGGCGATAGTGAGCCATATTTTTCATGCACTTTGTATCTTATTTTGAAGGCAGGTTTAAACGGTACCATAGTGACCAGAGAGTGTTGCGGCCAAATCAGACGTTCCTCGTGTCATGATTCCTTTTTATTATTATGTTTCGAAAATACCACAGTTTTCATGCAGATCATATAATTTCGTCCCTGAAAATATTGTATGACATTAAACTGGTCCGTGGGGCAAAAAAGGTTGGGGACTGCTGCTGTACACAACAAATTATTATGGACAACAGGTTAAAAGACAACATTTAGACCTTTGAAGGAACCTGCATCAGAAGACTTTGCCCTTCATTGTAAATTTCTGTATAATATGGCTCCGATAAGCTGGTATCCACGCTCATTTTAAGTATTAGCCCAGGGGTAGGCAACCCAAAATGTTGAAAGAGCCATATAGGACAAAAAAAGGCAAAAAACAAATATGTCTGGAGGTGCAAAAAAATAAAAGCCTTCTATAAAACTGACAATGAAGGAAACACATGCTGTATGTATGTAGGAGACTGGACTATCTCAGAAATTTTTGTAATTCATTCCTTTGTTGTGTGTTCACAAATGCCCCCATAGAATTTATTTTGTGATTTCCTCGTTTGATTTTCTGTTTTGGTGCATTATTTTTGCTCTTCTTAGTGTCAATGATCACTAATTTCCGTTTTTCGGAGGCTGTCTTTGGACGCCTCTTGAGTCGAACGAGAGGAGAGAAGGCACGGTATCGGACGCAGTCATGTCTGTGTTTGTCGAGACTGTTAAAAGCATAAATAAAGTGTACGTTTTAAAAAAACCAACACCACAGCTCTCCTTTTTCCGGAGCTGCAACATGTATCTACAGGTATATCTATATGAGCTATATTGGCCTACGATCAAAATGACTACGTTTTCTACAATTACACGATGAGCCTTCATGATTAGATGTTTTTTTTTCCCTGCAGTGCATTCTGTAGCCTAGCAAGGGTGCCCAACTTTTTTTGACCGAGGATCTACTATTCAACCAACCTACCGCGATCGACCTGCACATACACAACACACTTACATGCATGCCTACCTTCCTTCGTCGCATGGGACGCACTTTTGCAGCGTTTTTGACTATCGTAGCTCACGTGTACCGTTCTAAAAAAATGCTTTTCACGGCCCTCCAGATTCTCTTTGCCAGTACCCATGGGGAATTGTACATGAAACGCAGTTTTTTTTTTTTTAATTATTTATTTTTTTAGTTTAACGACAAAACTCGCGCAGCTAGGCAGGGGTGTCGCAAAGCCGAACACAAGTGGAAAAAAGACAAATTGCAGGTCTCTTATCAAATTTGGAAAGACTGCTGGCGTAACTACCAGCTCACAGTAAAAGAGGCCAAAAGAGAATATCTGTCTGACCTTATTCAAGCTAACCGTCACAACCCACGCGCACTATTTAAAACGATAGATTCTGTACTCAAACCCCCTCTGCCTACTTGCTCGGATCCTTCACCCGAGATGTGCAACAGATTCCTTCAGTTTTTCATTGATAAGGTCTCTACAGTTAGGACTCCGGTCTCAAATACCGCATCTGACCCCTCTGTCCATATTCCGTGTTCAGCTGTGCTAAATTCTTTTGAAACTGTGTCCTTGACGCATTTGGAGGATATAGTTCGCCAGATGAAGCCATCTGGCTCCCCTGCGACTCTCTTCCCCCGCATTTCTTTTAGGAGGTTCTACCGATTGTTGGTGCATCGGTCTTGGACATCATCAACAGCAGCCTCTCTTCTGGTATAGCTCCCAAACAGTTTAAACATGCTGTGGTCCAACCCTTGATCAAGAAACCTGGTCTTGATTCAGATGTGCTGTCAAATTTCAGGCCCATTTCCAAACTGCCTTTCATTTAAAAAATTCTGGAAAAAGCGGTGCACATGCAGTTGAAATTTTTCTTGGATGAACATAACATCTTGGAGGTCTTCCAGTCAGTTTTCAAGACGATGCATAGCACGGAGTCAGCCCTGTTACGCGTTTCTAATGACATTCTGCTGGCAAATTCAGATTCAGATTCAGGAAACTTTATTTATCCCCATGGGGTAATTGGACTTAACAAGCACGCTCTGCACAAGAAACATGAGAAACAATGACGAACATGGGATACAGTGCGAAGGGCCTGTCGGTACTTGCCGTATGTACAGCACCCCGAGATCTTAGTTGAGAAAGTAACACGAGGGGAGGGGAAAAAAAAAAAAACATGCTCGAACTATCCTCTTCTGAGGATAATTTAAGTCGAGGAGAAAAAAATACCCGATGCACATCAAAAGCATATATGACAGTTACAAGTCACAAGACATAACGTAATGAGGGGGCGGATGGATTGGGGGCGTGGGGTGAAGCGCGATGCGGCCCGACCGGCGTGCTGCCAGTCCATTCAGCGCACAGCAGATCAGGTCACATCACGGGGAAAAGCCAGGAACAATGAAGGCGTTGATGATAAGGACAGGCCGCAGCTGCTTCGTCAAGGTCTGCTCATGGAGACAGTCCCGGCTTATCAGTCCATGGCCGAGAAGGAGGGGGTGATGGTGGGGGCACTAGCTTCCATGCGTACTTTCAGGGGAAAGGGTCCAGATAGCGTTGTTTTGTTTTGGGACGGCCGCCAACAATTTCAGGTGGCCTTGAGTCCGTGGCTGTATCCCTTCACTGGCGCCGATGAGCCAAATCCTCAATTCCTTTTCGAAGCGAGAATTCGAACTTCTCCATGTTGTTGTCGATCGTACGGAGACGCTCTAGAACCGCATCCATATTGCGGTTGAGCTCAGTCACCGCTTGAGTCTGAGTGTTGGACATTCGCGCTAGACCATCGCGAAAGACCAGCAGCTTCTTCACTTCCAATAAAGCTGCTCCCGTCGGTTGAATTTTGCAATAGAACAGGAAACTGCTAACACCAAACAGCAGCATACCTGTTATCAGAAGGCCGATAATGTAGATGTCTTCCACATGCTCAATGGACAGTATTGACAGGCACACCATTCTCCACTTGCTCCATGGATCAAGGGCGTACCCGGCAGCAAATGTCCCCGAGGGGCAAGAAGGCTCCCCACTGCCTGCTCTTTTCGTCAAAAAAAATTTGTCGATTGCATCGAGAGACCAGCCAACCAATTCCATCATTTGTTCTTCGGATGAAAATACGATAGGAGGCTAGGAAAGTTAGACACAGACAGCACGTAGACTGAGTGGTGAGCAAGGGGAGGGTGGGGGAGGACAGGAGCTGAGCAGAAAAGTGTCCGCCTTAGTCGAGAGCCAAGCAGAAAAGGAGCCAAGCAGAAAATGACACTGGAGAGTACGTGTGTCTAATTTTATTGGATTTAACTGCAGCATTTGATACAGTGGATCACAGTATTCTGCTGACTCATTTGCAGCACTTGGTGGGCATTGGCGGTAGCACACTTGAGTGGTTTAGGTCCTACTTAGCTGACAGAACCTTTTGTGTAAGCCTTGGCTGCTCTGAGGCACGCACTGCTCCCCTGTCATGTGGTGTTCCACAGGGCTCAATTCTGGGGCCTCTGCTGTTCTCGCTGTATCTGCTCCAATTAGGTTCCATCTTAAGGAAAATGGTATTTCCTTCCACTGCTATGCAGATGACTGCCAGATCTATGTCCCACTGACCAAAAAAGACGCCTTCTCATTAAGGCCACTTCTATCCTGCCTGGAAGAAATCAAAACCTGCATGGCATAATATTTCTTGACT